TCATCTTCGATGTTCATTTTCTATCCTTTAATGGTCTTTAAGATTTGTTTTTAAGAACAAAAATCTTGACACCAAGAAAAACACAAAACAAGGCAAAGAGAATGCAAATAAATTTTTTGTTCACCTAAAATTTGATTTTCAACATGGTGGATGTATTTTTGCATCCAAAATGTGTCTATATTGACATTATTTATCTATTTTCTACAACTATAATTTATTTTTTCACAAATCGATAATCTTTGTTTTAAGATATCGTCTCTACATGTAATAACATCTCCCAGTTGATTTCTTTACAACTCCGTGTAAACTGAACTATATAATCAAACAGGGGCGGAGCTTCAACATTTTATTTGGGGGGCCGAAAATATAATATGTATAAAAATCGGTGAACAGGGAGGTCACAGCCAAAATTTTATATTTTTGGACTTAATATGTATAAAATTAATGTATAGGGGCTACTTCTAACCAAAAAATCAAGGGGGGGCCACAGCCCCCCCCCCCCCCCCCCCTTTCGCCCTAATAAAGCTCTGCCCCTGTAATCAAAGATCTTCGATGGAAATTCTCTACCATAAGGGATAATGACTTAAAAGGGTAATATATTTTTTGATTTGTACACATTTAGTTACTGACTTTTTTTTTCGTCCACATTTACCCCTTCAACTTGTTAAAATGTACACATTTAGTCTTTATGACCGACTACTCCAGGTTAGCTAGTAAAAATGACTTAATAGGGTAATATATTTATCATTTTGTACATATTTAGTCATTAATATTTTTGTACACATTTAGGCCTTAATATTTTTTTTGTTACAAAATAAGTCATTTTTGTTTTTGTACTCATTTAGTATTTATGAATGATTTCTTTAGGTTTTTCTCACAACATCTTACGTATGATAATTATATGGTGGTGGGATAGGTTGAGGTGGTCCTGCTATATGTTGTAGGTTAAGATACATGGTGCGGGTTGGCTATAAGTCGTAGGCACGGAGGCTCGAGAAGAGCGGTTGGGTTAAGGCAGCATGCCGACAAACCCTGGGTATTCCAGTCCGATGGATGATTGGACCTGTTGCATGTTGGCATTCCAGTCCGATGACTGATTGGGCCAAGGTATTCCAATCTAATGAGTGTGGGACCGTTATACATGATAATACGTTTGTTGTATCGGGTATTTTGGAGGAAACTCACTAAACTTTGTGTTTACACAGTTGTTTATGTTTTCAGGTTCTATCGTTTATCGTAGGAAGGCGAAGACATGACTGTACACGCTCATTAACAATATTGAGGATTTCACGTTTCTTATATTACTCTGATTTTCGATAAATGTATTTTGGAATAAATGTTTTTTTCTTAATACTGGATTTATAATTACGGAGTTTTGTCTTATTTAAAAATGAAAATTGTTTGTTGTGAAAATGAGACTGTTGAGCATCAACACTACCGGTTGATCTAAAATCAATTGGTGTTAGAAAGGGCGCAATCTTACCCATATAGCGCATTCATCCCTCCAGGACCAGGCATTCGATTGCGGCACTCCAGGCTATCGTGCGAGGACTTGGTCGATGTCATTTCTGACCCCCAACAGAGATGTTACACATAAACATCAACAGCCCCACACACTTCATCAATGATTGTCCCACGTAAGATGCCGTGAGAAAAACCTAAAGAAGTCATTCATAAGTACTGAATGAGTACAAAAACAAAAATGACTTATTTTCAAACAAAAAAATATTAAGGACTAAATGTGTATAAAAATAATAAGGACTAAATGTGTACAAAATGAGAAATATATTACCCTATTAAGTCATTTTTCCCGGCTAACCTAGAGTAACCGGTCATAAGGACTAAATGTGTACAGTTTAACAAGTTGAAGGGGTAAATGTGGATGAAAAAAACTCAGTGACCTAATATGTACAAATCAGAAAATATATTACACTTTTAAGTCATTATCCCTAAAAATAATCATAAGCTAGGTTAATGTATCATGGATTGAGTGGGTATGAACGAACTTGCAACACTTTTACCACGGTCTTATGTTACGACCCAAAAGACAATTTTCTATAACAAAAATATACAAAGGAAAAGAGGTACTTGAAATTCAAGATTATGTGGATTGCATATTTCACCTATTTATATAGCTTCAAAGTTTCGAAGTCATGATAATTTTAAACTATTTCTCACATAAAATAAGTTTGAAGCCCATAATTTAATTTGAACTTTGAAGGCATCCAAGTGAAACATTTGTTTAAAAATATATTCTTTTTGGATTATTTCTCGATTAGTGTGGATTATCGTTTCGCTAGGCCATGTTAATCATTTAGGTATATTTCAATTTTATCAAGAATATAATCAAAATATTTTATTTATTTATTTCAAAAGTCATTTTCGCAAGTAAATATTTAACAATTGATTAAATATATATAATAGACCATTAGACGCAAATTACACCCACTAAGTTTAAGGGGATTTCTATAAGTACTCCCCTCCCTTTCCAATCCCACCCCGATTTGATCTTTTGTCTTTTTGTTGGTTTTTTTTTTTTTTTTTTTTTTTTTTTTTCCTATTTTGTTTTTTAGTTGTATTTAATTCTTTTTTAATTTATATTATTATTATTATTATTATTATTATAAATTTCGTATAAAATTTTAAAATTCGGACGACATTTTTATTTGTTAATTCTTTTTTAATTATTATTATTATTATTATTATTTATTAAATTTCGCATAAAATTTTAAAATTCGGACGACATTATAAATTCAAACAGCTATATAAAATCAGTTTTTAAATATTTTTTTATATTTTAATATTATTTTTATTACTGTTATTATTATTATAAACTTCAAACAACATTTTATAAATCGGACGTTATAAATTCGAACGACTATATAAAATCGGAATTACAATTGTGTATTGCGTGGTTAGCTTTTCCAACAAAAATCGTTTTAAAATCGGAATTACGACTATATCAAATCAATAATAATAATAAAAATAAACGAATATTAATATTTCTCAATATATGAATCTTTTTAAAATCGTTCAAAGTGGTTAGCTTTTTCAACAAAAAATAATAATAATAATAATAATAATAATAATATTATTATTTTTATTATTATTAATAAAAGAAAAAACAACAAAAAAACAAAAAGGGAAAAACAAAAAAGAAAAGAAAAAGAAAAAGAAAATGATGTCAAATCAGATATAAAATTTTGATTAGATTGATGTTAGGGGGTAAAATCAGCCAAAAGTACTTATATCACAACCCTAAGTTTAATTAGATTAGATAATCACTAATATAAAAAGCTGAATAGGCGATGGAAAATATTATTTTATTATTTGAAAATTATACTATGATATAGTCATAATGCTTTAATTACGATAGATTGTCATCAGGATCTGTGGCGCAATGGTAGCGCGTCTGACTCCAGATCAGAAGGTTGCGTGTTCGATTCACGTCAGGTTCAATCCTAAAAATCGGTCCTACATTTTTTCTACTTTTTATTTTTATGTTCCTTTTCAGTCCTTCAAGTTTCTCCTGTTTACCAAAAACTTTCACTTAGCTTATGTACTTTTACTTATTGTCACTTGCAGTCCTTAAACCTTTTCACTATTGGTTGCTAACAAATGAGAATTGTATCTTACCCATGCACTTTTGCTTGATGTCACATGGCCATTTAAGAGTTTTTGAATTTTAATTCATTTATTACTATATATATTGACTAGTTTATAACCCATAATAACCACAATTTTAAAGTTAATTAAACTTTCATATTAAAAAATAAACATTATTAATTAATTATTTTAAATAAATAATTAGTTAAGAGATATTTTTTTAGTTATATAAAATTATAATTGTTGATTTAAATAAATATATGAAGTTATATCACCTTATAATCTGTATTAATTTTATTTTATTTTATAACCTAATGTTATTAATTTAATATAATTAGAATGAAAAAAAATTTAAAATGGAAAATCAATTATTAATTTAATATAATTAGAGTGAAAAATTTAAAATTTGAAATTTAAAATTAATAATTAATAGGTTGACATTTGGCATGATAGGTTACATATAGTTATTAATGATGAGTTCTAATAGTATGACACTTGTCAATAGGAGAATAAACATATTCATTTATTAGAATAGAGATTGGTTAGAAACATGTGATAAATCAAACTAACATTTTTTTTAAAGTTCAACAAATATATTTTTTCTATAAGTTCATGTCTTCATAAACATCATACAATATAAAATGGAAAATGTAACTAAATAACAACCAAATTTACAACCATTCCACCTAAATTGTTCATTTTTCCCCAATACTTTAACCATTTTACTTTCAATATTGTTTTAATGTTGGGAATTGGTTTACCTTTTTAACATCACAATAGGAAAGGATGACATGATAATTAATAATATCACTCTTTTGGATTTTGTAACTTTAAGTGAGTACTCTTTTGAAAATTTGGGTACAAGCACTCAAAAAAATAACAAATGCTTCATTAAATTTTGCCAATTGCTAAATATCAATATATTTGTTAGAGAATTTTGTTTTGCAATAATGAGCCGTTCGATAACTTCTAAATAGAACTGTTAATGGTTGATACAACTTTAGAATGAATTAAAAGTCTATGAATAATTAGAGAACTCCACATTCTTTCTAATATTAAACAATTTAAATTATTCAACACTAAATACTTGAATTTAAGTCAATATCTAGTTTTGACTTTCAACTCATTCTATTAAATAATTAAACAAACAAATTTTATTATCATTTTATAAAGTTCTTTCACATTTTTGCTCAACTACTTCGCATCAATCTTTATGATGACAAATAACATCTGTCGCGAATCTTATAACATGTGGAAATACAAGGGGTCAAGCTGACACATTTAGATAGTATAAGCCCTTTTAGAAATCTTTTAACACAAAACCCTAATTCCCAAAATCAAACTCAAACCCCTATTCTTGTCTCATATCTCAGAGCTTCAGTCCTGGAACATCAATGGCTTCCATCACCAAGCTTCGATTACTAAACTCATGTAATCGTCAAAAACTTTTTCCGGTATATCAAATTCAAGCTCGTCATTTGTCATCAATCCTAAACCCTGATTCCACCACTCCTCTCTCCAGCAAAGAGAAATCACGAGCCGCTCTTTCTCTCCTCAAATTCGAGAAAAACCCAGAACGAATTATTGAAATCTGCCGAGCAGCTTCACTCACGCCGGAGTCTCATCTCGACCGCGTCGCCTTCTCGATCGCCATTTCAAAGCTCACCGAGTTAAATTACTTCGAGGGCATCCGTAATTTCATCGATGAGTTGCTTAAAACCCGACCAGATTTGAACAATGAGAAGTTCATCTCTAACGCGATTATTTACTACGGTCAAGCTGGGCTGTTAACCAATGCATTCCAACTGTTCGATAAAATGCCCGAACTGGGTGCTGTTCAAAACGCGAAATCTCTAAATGCTCTACTCTTTTCTTGTATGTTGGCAAAGAAATACGACGAGGTGAAGCGTGTTTATCTCGATTTTCCTCAAAAATACGGCATCAAGCCTAATCTCGATACCTATAACACCGTAATCAAGTCCTTTTGCGAATCAGGCTCATCGAGTTCATGCTACTCAGTGACAGCCGAGATGATTAGAAAGAAATGCAAGCCAAATGCAACCACATTTGGCACCATGATTGCTGGGTTTTACAAAGAAGAAAAGTTTGAGGAAGTTGGGAAAGTGCTCGAAATGATGAAAAAGTATGAAGTTCCTGTAACCCTTGGAACGTACAACATCAGGATTCAGAGCTTGTGTAAGCTTAAAAAGACCATGGAAGCTAAAGCTTTGCTCGATGGGCTTCTTTCAAGAAAAATTAAACCAAATTCATTCACTTACAGTCATTTGATTCATGGGTATTGCAGGGAGGGGAAGTTAGTTGAAGCTAAAGAGTTATTTCAGACAATGATCAATGGTGGTTTTAAACCAGAGAGTGATTGTTACTTTACACTTGTTCATTATTTGTGTAAAGGTGGTGATTTTAAAGCAGCATTGGAGGTTTGTAAGAAGAGTATGGAGAAAGATTGGTTTCCCAATTTTTCTACTATGAAGTTGCTTGTTGAAGGGCTTGCAAATAGTGATAAGGTTGATGAGGCAAAAGAGATTATTGGAAAGGCGAAGGAGAAGTTTCCTAAGAATGCTGGTATGTGGAATGAAGTAGAAGAGAAATTACCAAAATAGACATGGTATGTTGATGATAACATGATTTCTTGATTTTGCAATGTTAACATTATCATCATTAGGTATGGTGATTCCTTTATATTCCTGGCTCATAATTTGGTTTAAATTAAATTGCATTGCTTTCCAGTTTCCATATCAGATATTAGTTTTTTTTATTTATATGTGTTTTATAGCATCTCACTTTCACCTTTTTCTTCGAAGGAATTGACATTTGTAAAATTCTATTGTTAAAAGGATACTTGAATATTTTTTAATTATGAGAAAATGTTGGGAATTGAATTCCATGGGGGATTTAAAAAGATGTGATGTTGAAATCCACAGGTATCAGGATTTTGTAAAATTCTAATGGAATTCAATTCCGTACTTATTTGCAATTAAACAGGGGATGTGATGAGAATGGAATTGAATTCCAATTCCGGTCAAACAACTCTTGTGAATGATAATAACATAATAATAGATTGTACCATATAATCATATTTTTGCTAAGGGGTGGCCCATAATATAAATAATTTCATAAGCAATGTGGATTTAACTACTTCTTATATAACACAAGTTCGAAAATCCTGAAAACCTATGAAGAAAAAGAAGCAGCCAGCTAAAAAGAATATTAACCATTGTGGGATTTCTATTATTAGAACCTTTCCTTAGAAATGTATGCATGAGTGCTCTTTATGTGCCCAACTTATCCTTTGTCAACAGACAACTATCTAATAATTGATAGTTCGTCGGGCTCTTCCCATTTAGAGGGGCGTGCTATAGGATTAACCATTTCTTGGCACACAATTCCATAAAACTATGCTGAGAACCATAATGCGGTCAAAGAGTGACGATGTGATTTATTTAAAGAAAAAAAAAATACAAGTCATGGTTGTATGACCACAAGGTAAACTAGTGACAATTCACTGCCTACAACCACAAGGTAAACTAGTGTATAAGTTTTGAAAGTCGATTTCGATAAGGCTTTCGACTCGATAAAATTGGGAGTTCCTAGACTAAATACTCTTGCAAATGGGATACGGGGAAAGATGGAGAGGTTGGATACAAAGATGCTTTAAATCAGCAAGGGCTTCGGTACTTGTGAATGGATCTCCCACAAAAGAATTTGAAATGGGGAAGGGCGTTCGTCAAGGCGATCCATTGTCACCATATCTTTTCATTACAGTCATGGAAGGACTTAACATAGCAATGAAAACGGCGTGCAAGAAAGGTTTATTCAAAGGCATCAAAACACCAAACGACAATATTCTCTTATCTCACCTCTTTTACGCTGATGACGCGTTGTTTATTGGAGAATGGAGTAAGGAGAATATTAAAAATCTTGCGAGGATACTTAGATGTTTCCATGTTTCATCGGGACTTAAAGTAAACTTCCATAAATCCCGAGTGTTCGGTATTGGGGTGGATATGTAAGAGGTTTCACGCTTAGTGCTCCCACTTGGTGTGAACCTGCCAAATTGCCATTCACCTATCTCGGGGTCCCGATAGGCGCAAACATGAACCAAAAGAAACATTGGAAGCCCGTGATCGATAGGTTCCAAGCAAAGCTTAGCGCGTGGAAAGTAAAAACTTTATCACTTGGGGGAAGACTAACTCTTACTAAGTCTGTTATAGGCAACCTTCCCTCTTACTACTTCTCGCTCTTTGTTGCACCTAGTGGGATCATCAATATGTTGGAAAAAATAAGAAGACGTTTTCTTTGGGGAGGTTCGGAAGAAAAGAAAAAAATATGTTGGGTAGCATGGGAGAAGGTGGTGTCTCCCAAAGAATCAGGAGGCCTTGGTTTGGGATCGATGCGGACATGTAACTTATCTTTGATAGTTAAGTGGTGGTGGTGACTAAAGAAGGGAGAAAACGAGTTGTGGAGTCGAGTCATCAAAGGCATCCACAATTTATCCAACAAACCTTCAGAGTATATGGATAAAAAGACATATACTGGCGTGTGGAATAACGTGGGTAAAGACAAAGACGTGCTAACTAAGAAGGGGATAGACATTACTAAGGGATAGACATTACCGAGATAATCAAGAAAAACATTGGTGCGGGTGATAAAACTCTGTTTTGGCACGATAAATGGTGTGATGACACAAAACTTAAAGCTGAGTTTCATGAGTTGTATAGACTGGAACGAAAGAAATTTTGCAAAATCAACGACAAAGTAAAAATTGGAGAGATAAGTTGGGACTGGAAATCTAGGCCAAAGTGAAAATAACCAAAATCGTGACCTAAACAGGCTAGTATCAAAAATTGGTGTATTCCAACCAACCACGAGTTTGGATTGCTGGTACTGTAGCATCTCAACTAGCATCTCAACTGACATGGCTTACCATGTTGACGCTTTAAGAGAAAAAATTGATAGTCCAAGCAATGCACCAAGGGAGATAATCATAAAATGGATCCATGAGTTTCTAATCAAGGTGTTGTGTTTCATATGGAGGGCAAACCTTGATAGCATTCCAACCAGATGTACGCTTCAGAAAAGGAACTTAAACTTCGACTCCACAATATTTCACAATGCAATTCCGGTGATGAGGATACTAATCATATACTATTCCGTTGTCCGTTTGGAGACGAGGTATGGGGGTGGGTCTTCAGATGGTGCGAAATCAATAAACCCCAAGTTAATAGCATTGGAGAACTGGTGCAGTTTTGTTCACAATGGGGAACTTGCGTGAAAAGGAGCAGGAACCTCTTATGTATATGTTATGGTGTTGCTTGGCTAATCTGGAAGGCTAGATGTGACTGAGTGTTCAAACAAAGGCGAGTGTCACCAAAGAATGTGGCTGATTATGCAAAAATCCCTGGTGCACACATGGGTGAAATACAGGAGAAAAGAATGTTCTTATAGCTGGTCAGAGTGGTGTGTGAACCCCAAAATGTGTATGTAAATAGTGTGTTTTGTTTTCTCCTGTTGTTGCTCCTCTTCTAGTTACTTGTTAGAAGTTGATTTTGTCTTTTTCTCGTTATTAATATAACTATTTGCCGGTTCCAAAAAAAAGTGTTTTCATGTAAATTAAGGATAACATTTTTGTCATTTATTATGTACTTCAAATTTGTATTTTGTCATCGGTAACATCTTCATGTCAGATTTTCATCATTTCTCCGTTCAATTTGTTCTGCGCCCCTTGGAAATTTGGTGAGAATGATAAAAGAGATAGGCTATTTTTAAAAATTACTTGCACATATAAACATGTATATTATATTTACCTTTCTTCGTTCTCCGTTTGAAATATAGTTGTTATGTTGTATGTTGAAAAAAATCAATAAACTATTGGGTTTTATTAGCATCAATACACTATCTTAAGGCAATGAAAACAATCAAAAGATATACTTAAGTGTACATGCACCATTGATCTAGGTTTTAGTAGTTATAACAATGAACTTTAAAAACAACAAAGAAAGCTTGCTAACTTCTTGGTTTCTTGCTTACGATCTTGTGAATTCCAGTGATTGTAGTGGATGAAGGATCTAAAGTAGAATCTCTCTAATGTAGTTAGACCTGGGAATTTGAGACACAAATACATGATCTGTGAGTGACACGACATGACATGGACACATCTTGAAAATTGAGATAAAACTTATTTCTCTTCGTGTATTTGTATTGTGTTAAATTTGTGGCTGACACAAATACACGAATTGTCAGGTTTAAATGTAGTCAGACCCACAAAATCCAAAAGCAAAAAGGAAGAACCCTAGATTAAGGTTTAGTCGAAATTCTCTAACCTTAAAAGAGAGGTTACAAATTTCGTATGAAGGAGAGAAAGAGAGAGACAAAGTGGATGATTTCTACAGTGAATCACAACCCTAGGGTTTGACCTATATCAACCTATTTATAGGCTGCAGATAGAATCCCAAAAGGATTCAAACTCTTAAGTTAATCCTAATCCGATTTAAACCTGTCATATCTCTATCCAGAGAGCCTATAAAAATTGTCTATATGTAGTCTCAATGAGCTTGTGGAATATTTCAATTAATCTTTAGGAATTAATTAATATTCAAGCTCTTTAATTAATTAAAATTTTTAATTAATTACCAAAATAATTTCTAATTAATTTATTAATTCGTTAATAAATTAACAATTTATTTTCTCTATTTCCTTAATGCTATTTGTGTCATGAGACCAATCTAAAAGGACCTTGCTATTATTAGAAATAATACCAAAATAGTTAATGACCTTGGACACTATTTTTAATAGTCTTCTAATTGGACAAGTCTTTAACTTTCCACTCTCTTAATATTTCACTAACAATCAATAGAGAGTAGTTATCCAATGCAATTGTCAAGCTCTGATCATAATCAAAATTAAGTTCTTAGACAAATGATAAAATATTCCTTTGTTCTAGATATCTTTATGGAAATGTGACATATGGATAATGATCAATATCACTGTTCAACATTCTGTTTACAGATTAACGATTTCTGACAATCACATCTGGCTTCTAAATTGAACTGTAACACCCGAAATCAGAAAGGCCAAGAAAGGAAAGGAAAAACCATAAGTTAAAGAGGGTCGACTCGTCGAGTCCAGGGAAGAACTCGGCGAGTCGGAGCGGGATCCGGGTGCAAAGTAAGTGACCGACTCAGCGAGTCGGCAAGTGGACTCGACGAGTCTGGTCTGGGTTGGGAAACCCTAATTCCGGGACTTGGTACCCTATTTAAGCATCTTATCCTCTTCCCTAGGGCTCATTTGCGGCCCTATAGTCCAGAACCCCAAACCCTAGCCACCATAACCGTTTTTGGAGCAAGATCTACCCTTGGTGAAGTAATTTGGAGCTTAGAAGAGAAGAGATTCATAGTGGTGCAAGAGGAGGCCTTGGATCCAGAGTTGGTGGAACTTTTTAGATCATTTGGAGGTAATGAATCGTTATCCTTGGCTTTCTCCTTTCTAGATCCATCTTTCATGGAGTTTTAGGGTTTCTTTGAGAGTATGTGATGAGAAATTGGTGCACAACTTAGATATGGAGTTGAAACTCCAGATCTGAGCTCTATTTGGACCAAAGATG